CAAATATTTCAAGAAGGTGCTTAGAGAGCCATTTGTTAAACACACGATAATAGGATATGACAATGCATTGCATGCTAGCAGGGCTGTATCATGGAGCTCTTAGTTTCCATACTCACTATCTGTCTCGTTGACAGACAGCGTAAGATAATGCTGGATCCCAATCTGATGAAAACAAATGTCTGTAAGATGTAATACAGGGGCTGACGTTTCGTAAGCTCTACTGAGTGACCTAATTCTGTGTTTAGCGCTGTATCCACTGATACAGGTATGAGTGGAAAGAATGAGAATCTGAGGCTGAGCATAAAAAAGAGAAAGGATCATCTAAAATATGGCCTAAACAAAAGCTTTCACTCAGTTTTTTTTTTTTTTTTATGCATTAGGGGATTTTTTTCACTGAGCCAATAAGTAAGCGCTCATCTCTTCCTTGTAGTATCTCCAAATTCATCTAGAAGGTATATCCTCTGCTAATCTCATCTCAGCGCTATTAAGTGCTGCTCCCTCTGCAATCCATACCAGTCATAATCTGTTGTTTTGTTTGCTCCTCACTTTGTTTGCCTTTTCGTTGCTAATTTCTATGTGAGCAGTCAATAACATCCACAGATTTGGCCTTTATGGACGCCGTTCTTTCCAACTGACAAGAACGTATGATAATAAACCGCATCAGTGATTCACTGACTCATAGAGGTAATTAGAAAAGGACACATTTCTTATACTTTGCTATTACCTTACAAAAGTATAGTTGCATTTGTGTTTTTTTTTCACCATTTTGTCAGATGTTTTTCTTTTTACATTGACTTTACTTTCCCTGATGAAAAAAGGTGCATATAGCATAATGCTGCTACTACTGTGTTTCACAGTTTGGATAGCGTATTCAGATTAATATGCATTATTAGTTTTGTTTTGCTTTTTTTTTTAGCTTAATTTGACATGTCAGGTTTTTTTTCTGGTAAATATACAGCATTAGGGGTGTGGCGGCCTAGTGGTTAGGAAATAGGGCTTTGAAACCTTAGGGTTGTGAGTTCAAAACCCACTCCCACTGACAGCTACTCTGGATCTCTGAGCAAGCAAGACCCTTAACCCCCGACTGCTCCCCTGGCACCCCATGATGGCAGTCCACTGATCCCCAAGGGGATTGGTTAAATGCAAAGGTCAATTTCTCTAATGTGAGATCAATTAAGTTCAAATATTATTAGCATTTGGTGCATATTGATGCTCCATAATGGCTGCAGTTCCCAAACAAATTGGCTACATAACTTAAGGGGTTGGATTCGCCACTGAATGAGACATAGTTTATGAAAGTATAGTAAGTAATTTTTAAAATATAAATGAAGAAAATAAAAGGATTAATTGAATTTGGGATGAAGAAGAAGAGATTTTTAAGCCGTATAGCACAGCCCTAATCCCTCATATTTAATCTAGAGTGGTGGAAATGGCCTGGCTTTACCAGTAACTCTATGACTTCTTAATCCGCTGGTGGTCTGCTATCAGATTCTTAAACACAGAGGGAGTCTGTTTAATTTTGTGAATTTTCGATGCCAGTTACTTTGGTAAAACCTGGAAGTAACAGGTTTAGCACCCCTACTCGCTACAAGTTACATGATGTTGCTTTAAAACAAAGTATATTGACTTTTATTTAGAGGCATTATATCAAAAGGGGGCAGAGAGGAATAACAGACAGCTCAAAATAATAAAGTATTATGTATTGATCTATCATGAAATAAAGAAATTCACATCTTACAGTCGGAACTAGGGCTGCAACTAACGATTATTTTGCAAATCAATTTATTTGTCGATTATCTTTTAGATTAATTGATTAATTGGTTCCTTAAAGATTATATTTTACTAAATTAAACCAGGTGAAACTAAAACTTTTCCACTTGAGGAGTTCTGGATAGAGCATATTCATTTACGAATTTCTTTTTAACCTTAAATGCAAAATGTTAAATATCTTTTTTTACAATTTTGGTATAATAACTGCTCTAGGTGGGTTGCTCTCTCAGCTAAAGACATGTTTTAGAGTCTCTATACACTATTTAACAATTTATTGATTGCTGAATTAGTTGACAATTATTTCAATAATTGATTAATCAATTTTGTGTTTCAGTCCTAATCAGAGCATTACTGAAACTGTAAAAATCAAGATACTTCAATGTTTTGGATAGATGCTTTATTCTTAGGATAAACTTATTTTTGATCAATTGAAATATTAACTGGCTCCATCAGTGATGGATAGAAGCAGAGCGCTTAATGTGAGATTTCTGCTACGACTGCTGTTCTGCTTCACCAAATCATCATGAGCTGAGAGAAAAAAAAAAAAAAAAAGGAGGAAAAATTAACCTCAGGCTTTTCAAGAAGATGTACGCCAGGACTTCATTTCCTCTGCACATCTTGCTGCACTCATCAGTTTTATATAGAACACACTAGTCCCAAGTCAACATCAGTAAAAATGAAACGGTGCATGATAATGATGTTCCCTGACCTCTTTTAGACCGTCAGTATAATCCATGATGCTGCTGTCTTACCTCCCTTCATGTCTCACAGCTGTATTTAACTTAACAGCAAGTAAAATCGAACCATAAATGTAAGGTCCCGAGCCGATACGGTTTGATAAATGGGAGATGCCACCCCTTACTTTATTCCACAGATAAAAATACTGAAGAGAACTATATAAAGTGCCTTTATGGGTTTATGGAGAAAAAAAATATGTTTCATTGTTTGTTTTTCTCTCCAGCATCTCAAGAGCATTCGGAAAGAGAACATCTGCAAACTCTCACCCTTTTGACACTACATGGAAATGATGCTTGGGAAATATTTCATAGTCTCAATGGTGAACTCCCGAATGCCCAATGAAAGAAAACAAAGCAATAAAATACCATTTGGCTGACTGCTCCCTAGCTCTATGCAAAAAGGTTAGGCCAACCAACTCCTGAGAATATTTGCCCCACCTATTATATATTCTTGGGTTCTGCTGTCAGGAAAAAAATAAATGTATAATGAAGAAGACATAACTCAGGTAACGGGGCTGTTGGTTGTTTATTTGGAATATATATAACATCTGGTTTATTGATAAACATGTAAGAAAAAGGAAAACCAAACTTTCTTTACCAAATATTGAAAATCTATATTAAAGGTTTGTTCCAAAAAAGTTGAAAAACAACCAACTGGACTTTGTTTTCATGTTTGAAGACGTTTCGCGTCCCATCCAGGAAGCTTTTTTAATTCAAAATGTCTGAATTAGCGTTGAGTTCAAGGCTTTATAAAGTGGACCAACAGCATATATTAAAGGTTGTATATTAAGTAGGTTTGTTGCATGACACAAAATGCAGCTGCATCCTACAGTTTGGATCGACTGTGCGGTGAAGATGCTGACACCCTGCAGGAAACTCTAAACGTCTCCACGGCCCAGTGACCCCAAAACTGTTTCACACAATATAGGTTAGGCTGCAAAGCAGCTTTGAGATCCCACGTTGCTATCAGCTTCAAGTCTCCTTTAGGAACCTGCCTATAATAGTTCTGCTATGATAAGGTCTTATGATGGAAATTGGGCTAAAATTGCTACAACTAAGAACAGTTAAACATTTATATAAAAAATTGAACATTTCAATTCATTTCGTATGTTTGGTAGCTAATTTTGATTATCTAAACACACCTAGCCATCAAGTTAACTCAGATTAACATAAAGAGAAACACAGAGTTGTGAGATCTTTGTATGAGAAGCAAAACCTTCATGTGACCCTTGGTGTCTAATGGGGCCTTCCTTGATGGTAAGCTTGGAAGTGGCCTTTAATATGGGTGGCATCTCATTTACCTGGGAGATATGGGCTGGGTGTGCGCTAAGTAGGGGTGTGCATAATAATCGTCATGGCAATGCGTTACGATTCAAATTTTTGTGATCTGCTGCATTGATTCTTGATGCCAAGTATCTTTTCTTAATTAACAAAAAGGAATAAATAAAATACATGAATGGTTTACACACATCAGCCAGAAACAAGTGGAATACAACTTTCAGTCCAGTAGATGTCGCTGCGGATACTGCGACGAGTCATTCATAAACAAAACATGGAGGAGACTGAAAAATTTGTCCAGCTCCATCACATTCTAAGTCAGATGTTTGGATGCATTTTGGCTTTAAAAACAAAGAATGTAAAAACGAAATTGATATGATGCACGTAATTTGCAAAAGGGGAAATGTCAAACATTTGAATGTTTCCATTTCATTGGTTTAAAGGACCACTGAGGCCATGTTAACAGCACTGTTAATTTAGATTTTATAAATCCTAATCACTTTTTGTCAGTGTGTCCACTCCAGTAATAGTAAAATTTGTGTCCAGAATTTGTTTTCATGGCAATACCTTCAAAAGTTGTTTCAATAAATAAAGCTATGTATGAATTCAGTTGCGCTCAGTTATGTATCAATTAAAGTCACTATCCAGATCATGCACAGCCAGTCAGCCACTGGTAATAGCTGTATTTTTTTCTTACAGTGTTCAGCGAAAATATCTCAATGCATCGCGATGCATCGCAATATTTCACGTATCGTGATGCATCGTGATAGAATCGCATCGTGGCATGTGAATCATGATTGGAATCGAATCGTGACTTCTTTGGCAATGCCCACCCCTAGTGCTAAGCACTTTGGAAAACATTTTTATTCATTTTTTGTTAGGTTTTCATGTACAAATTGTAATTTTGCCCCAAGCAAAAGTTTACACTCTTGCATTTTCTTATTTCATAATTCACCCTAAAAGTGGATTAATCTGAATCACAGAAATGACTTTAAACACTCTTTTTTATAATAATTTTCTCTGCATAAATATACATTAAAAGCTGCTTTTCAGCCATGATTTATTTGTGATTTGCAGTCGTTTTTAAAGCTGATCTAAAAGCAGATTTATGCTGGGGGCCCAGAGGAGGGATCTGGCCCCTAGCCCACTCTGAGTAGACTAAGTTAATCAGAACTATTTAATTAGGATCCAAACCCACTGATGATGCCAACTTACCGCTATTCGGGTGGACATCTTCTGCTCGCCCTCTGCGCCCCTCTGCTCCCCATTGGCCCTGCTGTAGTCCGGAGGTTGCTGGTTCGATCCCCGGCTCCCTTTGGGTTTTCGGTTCCCTGGACCCTGTTGAACGATGTTGAGGAGGTGCAGGGTGTTTTCGTGCTCCCGGTCGGAGCTCTCAGCCTGGCCCCTCTGGTAGCGGTTCTCACAAGTGGAGTGATGCCTCCTGCACAGCTCTATGCGGGCGCGCAGACGCTCCACGATGGCGTTGTGCAGCGGAGGGACCGCGGAGCCTCCTCGGGAGGTGGCCAGCATCGGGCCGTTGCCCACCACCCCACCGGGCATGGCTCCTAACCCTACACCCAGTATGGGCACGAAGGTTCCTGCAGCAGCAGACTGAGCGGGAGTCGCCTCTCCCATGCCCGCTGCTCCTTCCCAAGTTTGGAAAAAGCTGAGATCCTCTCAGCAGGAACAAGAAAACAATATGCAAAGTCTTTATATATTCTATTTAACATTTATTTTATTTGAACTAATTAACACTTTCCTCCCCATGTGATGACAGCTTGTTAAATACCTAAATAAGGTGTTATCCAAATGTGCGTAAAGGAAAAAGTCTCCAAGTTGCGCGGTTCTATTATCTGTAAGGATAAAAATGATTTCCACACATGAAAGGAGTCGCGGGGCTCACAATTGGAATGAATGCTCTCTGCATTCACTATGAATCCCTCAGATGATTCAAACCCACGGCACGCACAACTTCACTTCAACCATCCCTGCTCCATTGTCGGCCCAAATGCGTGCGTTCCAGACGCTCAGCGGCCCAAGGAGTGCGACTATTGGAGCAGCCTGATGATATGGGATTGAGCAGTCGGTCCCCAGAGCGAGAGAATGAAGCATACAAAGACATTAAATCCAGCAAACTTCAAGACTCACGGCATTGTTTGGAAATGAGTCCTTTCTCTCTTTGTTTCTCCGACTCCATCCAGAGGAATAATCTGATCACAACACAACCAGGAGGATCAAACGCGTGGAGCAGCTATAGTAACCGTCTCAATAGTCCATTGACAATCATTTGTGTGGCAGAGCGAGGCAGCAGCACTGCTACTTTACACAGACCCTCATTGTATGAATATTCCTCTTCTTACATGATGCACTCCTATGGATGAAGCCAAATGCACACTCTAGTGGAGGAGAAGAGAACTATCCTTCAAGGAATGCACCATGTCAGAGAGAAATTAATCTCATTAATGTTCCTCAAACATAACTAATTCAGTAGCTGATGGAAAAAGTACAGCTTGGTGGGAAATCGTCTTGGGTTTCTAACTCTGCTTGATGGATCTGAACAAAGCAGCGAAAAAAAGATGCAGGGTTTTCAAAATTATTTAAAATAAATTCTGAAAAGTGTGTCGTGCTTCACTAAATAAAATCCACTGCTGACATCTATCCTTATAATAAATAGGTTCTACCCTAACTAATATCTTGTTATGCATTTTTAAGAACTGCTTCATATTTTTTAGATGATCAAAATCACAAATCTAAATTGAATACCTGGTAAAGAAAACCTAATACAAAAGGTATTTCCAGCTAATATGGTATTTTTCAGGAGAAAAAAGCAATCGGAATCTGTGTTATAGAGATCTGACAGTCATCAGGAGTGTTAGGTACTGCCAGAGCACAGAAATCAGGGAATTACTTTAACAAAGGATCAATATGGCAAAGCAAAGCATGGGTCTAAAGATCTCCAGACACAAAAGAGTGATTAGGACGTGGGCTTGGAATCCTGACGTTTTGAGTTTGAGCCCCACTCCCACAGACAGCCACTCTGGGTCTCTGAGCAAGACCCTTAACCCCTGATCAGGAGAATTAACTTTTTTATTTTTTGTGCATATTTTGTCACATGCCATTCGCTGGACATATTCTAAAGACTCATATATTTATTACATTTATCCATCAGCATAATGCATTTATTGCATATTTCTATTATTGATGTAGGACGTTAAGCAGCTGCAACTATTTCTAACATCTTTCATTATCAACTATAAACTGTCCTCAACTGGAATAGAAATCAGTTATTGTGGTCTCAATAGAAATGATTTTTTTTATGTGATCAAAGGTGTCTTAAATTATTTTAATTTCAAACTATTATCACTATTTTTGCAGTTGAAGAAAAATCTTGCAGGGGACAGGTAGTTATAAATGTGATCAACGCTTTAAACAGTGTATTTGCATCAATTGTTGCACCACAGATTTTGTCTCTATAACCAGAAATTTTGTTCATTTGTTTAAATGTGTTAAAGTGTAAAAAAGTAACAAACGCTTTTGTGTTACCTTGCAAGAAACAGACAATTTTATAATCACTCAATGTACCTGTCTACACAAGAAACATACAGCAGTATCTGTGCATTCAGAATCTGTAGGAAAATATGTGCAGCAACATAGCCAGAAAACAGAAACAAAATAAAGAATTATTTAACCGAAGAAGCTAATAAAAAGGAAGAAAAAACTAGTATAGCAATATGCAAAGAAAAACTTAACATTAGATTTGGATTGTGGAAAATAACTTTTGAAAAAGTCTGAATAGATTTCAGCTTTATGTCCCCTAAATTATGTCTTATGTCCACCCCATGCATGAAGCTGTTGCAGAACTGGAAACCTCCTTCAGTGACAGACTGCTGCACCCTAAATGCATCAGGGAGCGTTATCACAGATCCTTCCTCCCAGCATCTGTTATAACCATCACTGTTCCCAACAGCCTCAATAAGTTGTTACATTAATGCTGATTTTGCACAGTTTCTACCTCAGTCAGTGTCATTTTGCACATCTCTGGTGTTGCTGCTATTTTTCACATATCCATTATTGTAAAAATGTCCTCAGCCGTTATTGATTTTTATTCTCCAGATATAGAGTATTCATACTGTATAAACACCATACAGTTATTATTTTATCTGTTATTTTTATACACTTTTTTAAGGTCCACATTGTGTGACCACTTCTGCTATAACCTTTATTGTCCGACAATGGGGGAAACCATTGTGGGACAATAAAGGGCTTTTCTATTCTATTCTATTTTAATTCCATTCTACATATTATGTTATTTTTTTAAGTGAGCAACACCTAAAAAATTTAAATAAAACATAACTAGCTTTGTCATTATGAAACACTAGCCAACACTAACATTTTGCAGTTTCACTATGCCATAACAGAGGGGAAGCTGATTCAAATTTTGTTGTGCAGTTGGTTTAGATTTAGAAAGTTCCCCAATGAGAGTATGCTAGAAATCATATAACAGATAAATGGTGTTGTTTTTTAAAAATTCAAACCATGTAAAACTGATTCCTTCCCAGATACAAACACTTGATAGGAGTTTACAAAGTAAAAGCACCAGGGACAAAATGACACTGTTCTAACACCATTTTTACTTTAGCATGATTTTATTTCCTAAAAGTCGTTTAAGCACATAGTGGAGTTGATGCTTTTTTTTTTTTTTTTTTTGGAAAAACAAAAAAGTAAATTCAAATTAGTATTTTACTTATGTGGAAAAAAAACCCAGCAAATATGTTTCTTAAAATTACTGTCATTCTAAAGAGTCCACCTGAAACAGACAGGGATAAATCTGTAAAAATATTTATAATCCTTAAAAAAATTGGCCTCTTTTGCAGTAATAATATGATTCATACGATAATATCTGCACCCATTATACCTCCAATCCATGGAGGAAATCAATTGATATAGGAACGAAATGTTCTTTAATTTGATTAAGATTATATCACATTTTAATACATATGTCAAGATGATTCCTGGGTGTAAGAATATGACATGACATTTTGGCCAATAGGCTAGACCAATACAGCCTTTTTACAGAGAAAAAGAGAATCTCTAATGTTAAAAGGAAGCAATAGTGACATCTGGAGGTTAGAGCTTTAATAACATCAGTCAGACACAATCTGCATGTCAATTTGTTGTATAGAAATTACGCTGGATAGAAAAGAAATGCTTTTCTGTCCTTTCAATACAAATGTGAACAGGTAGGTAAGCAATACTGGTACTTTAAGGTAACAGATGAAACTAAGGTTGAATTTTCCTGCACAAATATCTCAGATTTTAAATGCCAGGAACCTGAATAAAGATCTAGTAAACAGAAAAAAATATGAAAGTGTGTATTTTTTGTTTTTTTATTGGAAAAATGATTGATGAGCCAAAATATTTGCGCTAGCTAAGGGAGAAATTGATAATCAGACATATAATTAACTTTTCTTCAGAGCCTTCTCAGCTTGCAGACCAAAGGAGTGAAGGTAATCATTGTGGCACTTATGGCTTAAAGGGGAAAAAAAAAAAAAAAAAAAATATATATATATATATATATATATATAAATATATATATATATAGATAGATAGATAGTTGCATATTCATGAATGAAATAACAAATAACAGAATGAAGCAGTGTGACACTATGGTTGAGCAACATTTTCTGAGGAGATTATGTGTGAGCAGATTCTGAATATCAAAAACTCAACGAAACGGTACAACTTTACCACCGGAGTTTAAATCTTTGATTTATTTTATTTCCACAGTTTAAGTCTACATAATATTGGAATGACAAAGTACAAGGTACTTGTGTATCCCAAAAAAAACTGTACCACATTACAATCACACTTGCATAACTTCTCAAACTCTGTAAAAAAAAAAAAAAAAAAAAAAAAAGGTGAAGATATTCATTAATGTTAGTAGAGGGCATTTTTTTCCCCACTTTTTTTTTTCTTTTTTTCCACAATTACCAACTGCAAAACACACAATAAATTAATAAGTTAACACACAAGCAGTCTCTGAATGCTTTACAGTAGTAGCAACGACAGTGGTTTTAAAGAAAAGATCTTTATCAGTACAGTACGTCATCAGTCTGACAGCAGATCAAAGCGTTTTCAGTCTCGAGCCTTCCAGGCTGTCACCGAATATAACCCAGCTCGCAATCCACCACAACACGTACACAGCTCTCCTGCTTGCAGCGAGCATCTCCAGATAATAAATTACATCTCCCCTTCACTTCAACAGACAGGTAGAAGAGGCTCCTCTTCTTCAATCTTTTCTCCCCTCTTTGTAAATCACAGTTCATCTGGTTTTGCAGCATGGCATACGTACAGCTAGCAAAAGCCGGTGTGGAAATTTAAAGCTGAATCAAATACATTTTTTTTGCTTAAATTAGCCGGATCTTCTCCAGCTGCACACAACACTAGGTTACATTGATCAATAATAATAATAAAAACGATTAAAAAGATTTTTGAAAAAAACATCAAGTGTAAAAAAACAGAAGTAATTGACAACACATCCCAGCACTGCATGGCTCTAATATTCCTATTAGGTGGTTCCAGCCCACAATGAAATACTGGACTTCACTTCAGTTAGAACCTGATCACTCAGTTGTTCTAAATACAATGTGGTCCTTGTTTGAGAATTAGGATTAATCTAAACTCCTGAATATTTCAGAATCTATATTATATAAAAAAAATAAAAATATAAGGCAAATTAGACAAAAAATGAAGCATTGAAATACACTTCTCCATTTTAAGCTTTTATCATTACTGATGAGTTTCCATGTTAATCAATGTAGCTTGTTTTAAACCACACGAGTGCAAAGGATTTCAAACCAAAGATGCACTTAATATGTCAATAATTTATACATAACTAATGCTAAGAGACGTAGTGTGGGAAGGTTAAACCTAACAATGCAGTACCTGCTTGACATATCTACAAGCCTTGTGAAATGGAGCACCTCCTGCTTTATTTTTACTCCTATCTGCTCAGGTAGATGGGAGTAAAGTGTATAGTTATACGGAGCTGTTTTTAAATATTCTTTAAAGGGCAAACTTACTCTAAAAGGGAAGAAGCAACACAAACCTTAGGAGAAATAAGACATCACATTTCGTGTCTGTGCCGTAACAGAGCTTCGGCAGAGAGTAAAGTTAAATAAAATAAATGTTTGCGAGGATGATTCTCTAGGTAATATAACGCTTTTTTATATTTTATTTGTTTTCTTTTTGTTTTATCAGTTTGTAAAAGCCCCCATCGCCCCAAAAACCATACTGTAAACAACAACCGTGTGTACTTGCAGTCAATATTTAGCCTCAGTTGTGGC